TTAACATTACAATATGTCAACATATCAACATCAATATTCCATATATCAATATTGAAATATTGAAACACTTCAGCACTTCAATATTTCAGCACTTCAGTATAGGAAACATTATTCTTTCCCCCCTTTATTTCACTGATACAATTTCTTTGTCATATTTTATTTCATATTAATGCTCTATGTTTTCTCCTCTTTACAGGAATTCCAAAACTTTAAGCAAGGTGATGAAGAAGTAGTGTATGCAGCCATCGTAGGAACTGTCTACAGCTGAAATAAACTAGTGCAGTTAATAGCTTTCACTCATACTTGGAGAAGATTGGCATCCATCTTCTAATAGAATTGTTAACAGAAGAGAAACTGATTCCAGTGGCAGCCTTATTTAATGTGGGATTATGTCCTTATGCTTTTTGCTTTGGGAAGGAGTGATTATCGAGCAACATAGTCACAAAGTATTTTTAATGTTCCATTCTAACTCAGTGACAGACCACATACTTTGCGTGTAAAAAGTTCAGTCCCTAGTATTTCTAGGTAAAGTCCTTTAAAAATGGAGGAGAATTTCAGTCAGTGATTCTCAACCATTGGCTCTCAAGATGCTCTAGACCAGGGGTCCCTGGACTTTTGGATCTTGGGGCTGGTTCACTGGCCCCCAGATCTTCCGGGGGGCTGGAGGCGCACGCACATGCACGCACATGCATGTGCATGACTCCGGATGCCATTTTGTCTTCCAAAATGGTGTCCGGAATCATGTGCATGCGTGTGACTCCAGGTGCCATTTTGGAAGACAAAATGGCGCCTGAGTAGTACACATTTTGGAAGACAAAATGGCATCTGGCGGCAGGCGTGAGCGGTGGGCTAGATCCGGCCCGCGGGCTGTAGTTTGGGGACCCCTGCTCTAGACATTGTCTCTCAAAATCTCTGATTATCATTGACCATGCTGGTGAGACTTCTGGGAACTGAACTCCAAAATATCTGGAGAGTCAAAGGCTGAAGACTGCACTGCACTGGTCAGGCCTTATCTGGAATACTTCATTCAGTCTGGGCATCTTATTTTAAGAAGGATATAGACAAGTTGCAAACACATTTTTCATACAACCAGAGAAAAAGTTATACACATGGACATCACCAGATGGTCAACACAAAAAGCAAATAGATTACATAATTGGAAGTAAAAGATGGTGAAGCTCCATACTGGTGGCCAAGACTAGATGAGGTGCTGATTGTGGCACAGATCACGAACTACTCATTTCAAAAATAAAACTCAAGAAGAGAACAAAACCACTAATCATACCAAAATACGATTTAAACATAATAATGAAGTAATGCTATATATGACAAAGATTTGCAGGTAGCATTCTCACCACTCTCCATTAAATATTTACAACAAGGGAAAATAATGTAGAACTAATTCTGTAGCCATTTTTTTATCTACTTTATCTATACAACCTTTCCACAAGTCAATGGGTTCATGTATTTCTCTTTTTCCTACTATATCCCCCAACATTTAAAAACCAACGGCTCTGTTTGTCTTATTCAGTAGATCTCTCCTGAGTCATACTGATTTTACTTGTTATATGAAAACTATTTTCCAGAAATGTATTTGCTAGAATAAAACTTTATATGAATGTATCCAGCCTTGCAGAATTATATCATTCCATGGAGTGAAACAATATTTTCCCCTGTGGCACTGATGGAAGTGGTATAAGGAAATGCCTTGTTGTCTTTCAGAAAGGGACAGGAATCAAATTATAAATTATGATCAAGTAGAATTTTGCATTTCTTTCATTGCTTTATCAACATAAAGTTTTCTAAGTTACTTCATGAATTAATTTTGACATTGATATATCCAACTTATGGTCAAATCTCCATGTGTAACTAAAAAAGAGATAGAAACAGAGTTATGATTGAGTCAAGTTAAGCACTTTTGAGTCCCTTTTGTTTTATTGCTAACCAAAAGGAAAAATGCTGTTATGTCAAAAGACTAATTGATTTATGCTGCTTTTTAAAGGAGTAATCCAGTAGTACTCAAACTTTTTACTCTTGGGACCCCCCCCCTTTACATCTACATGCAGACATTGTCGTCGTCCCCCCCCTCCACTCGACATAATATATGAATAAAAACATTTTTAAATTTTCATTTGCACATTCATGTATATTCATATTTTAACGTTTTATAAGACAATAACATTGTTGAAATTAGAACAGCTTTATTTAAGTAAATTCAATATTTAACTCAAAGCATGTGGAAATTTTATACATAAAAAAGTTTGGAAAGAGGAGAAGGAGAGCCTCCATGTTTCATACCTCCTTTGAGCAACTCTTGCCCCCCTGGGGGGTCCCACCCCACGGTTTGAGTAAACCGTATTTTAGATGTACTCTTGATTTATTTACCTACAGTACAACAGACTGCAACTGAAATGCCTGAATTTCATCTCCCTAAGATTTGTGTGAATTCACAGATGACCACCCGAAGAAATACTGTTACAGGTAAGCAACCTGTCCTTCTATCACCTATAGCTTGAATTAGAATAAAAGCTTTCTTTTCAAAATTACATTACTTATAATGCCAGGATGATTGTATTGGTCCCCACAACTGTTTTGCCTATTTCTAGATGACAATATACAGAATGCATAGAAGTAATTGAGCATTTCATACCATATTGTATTAGCACTTTCTTCCACTGTCCAGCCACCTCCTGGTCTCCCTGGCAATAAAATAGCCATGGCAGAACCCTCCACTTGAAAGCTGCCTTCTGTAGCTACTTCCTTCTGTAACATTAAATAAGTAAGGCCTTGTTCCCACTGTGATTTAAAGCAAATTGCTGCTCAGGCTATATGACCATCGTTCCCACTTGAAACCAGTTTCAGCTCTACTGTGCTCGGTTGCAATCACGATGAAGTGAGGCAAATGCAAAAAACCCGCTGTTTCCTGACACTAGTTTTTTGGTAGTTCTTTTGAAAAAAATTGATTCCGAAGCATAATCAATAAGTGGGAACGATGGATCTGAATCTCATCATTCTGGAGGAGAGGAACTAATGGCAGAGGGGTGTTTACCATCCCTCCTCAGTTTTTGGGAAATCAGCCATTCCCCCCCCCCCAGCACTGCCTTTGTGCTTGTGGTGTGATCTATGGGTGCATGATATATATATATTTTATTTTAAAAATTGACAGAATATGCGATCCAGAATATGTATTTGCAACTACTTGTAATTACAGGCAGACTGTAGCTCAGTGAGGCAAGTAGTTGCAAAACCAATGGATCCCACATCATGTCATTTTAAAAAATATATATATAGTTCCCAAGCTGGGCTGCTCAAAGGGAAAATGGTGTGCTTGAGTAGCCTGGATTGCTGAGGGGCAGAGGAAGGCTCAGTTGCTAAAGTTGCCCTGCTCAACAGCTGGAACAGCCCCATCCTCACTGTGTGCCACCGATGGTGCGCAGATGATTGACATGCATTTTGAAATGGTGCAAACTAGTGGGGATGACAATCATGCCAAAAAAGAAGTGATTTTTTTGTTTTTGTTTTTTAGATTACAAGGGAATAATGAAAAGATCCACTTTCATAGTGGGAACGATAGACCTTTTGGAATTGATTCATCAACACGGAGTGAAGGCGAATTGCAAACTGGTTTAAATGTAAGTGGAAACAAGCCCAAAGAAAGAAAGAAAGAAAGATGTATACACTTGTATAACTCCAGGTTTTGCAAGCACACATCACCAATAGGATTCCAGCAATTGATAGGACTGAATTGTTTGTTTGCTTTACTGAAGGAAAACAACTAGACAATCAATATATGCAAAATCAATTTGTGGTTATTGCTTCTTGGAAGACAAACATAAATGTGAAGTCATGTGTAGTGGCTTTCTTTCTTTCTTTCTTCCTTCCTTCCTTCCTTCCTTCCTTCCTTCCTTCCTTCCTTCCTTCTTTTATAAATAATTAATTAACCTAAATAAAATGTGCATTTCCAGTTTTTCCCCCTGCCCCATTTTAAATGCTATCGATATTAACAGGACATGTTATGTTCTAGTAAACAGAGGTAAGCAGTGGGGCTTTTCTTTTCTTTTAAATACTGTATGTGTTATTGTTTCACATAAAGCCCCTCTCCAAATCATAGACAATAATATCAAGGGCAAATAATGGAGCAAAAAGATGGTCTTTATGGATGCTTGAGCTGTTAAAGCCACCTAGACAGCAGAAGCAAACTCCCTTTTGTTTAGAGCTTGGATGTAAAGAGATAATAGCAACAGTTGAGTTGCTTTTGAGAGTGGGGACACACACACACAGAGGGATATATTAGATTTTAAAAGTAACAGTGGGTAGAATAATGTCAAAACCAGGCAGGTAGAAGTGTATAACGACTTAACACTTTATTTTCAAGTTTCTAGTTACTTTTAAAGGGCATTTTTGAGGCTTTTTCCCTCCACCTTTCTGTTGTTCTTGTGTCAATCCTATATTTCTTTCTTTTAAAAAAATTGACACAACAGCAATGAGCAGTGTAATGAATTACCCAAGGATTAAAAACAAATAGGTTAACAGTGCTAAATTACTGTTTGTGTGGCTTTGTAACAAATCGCTTAACAAATTTCATTTAAAAAATAAACTTTCTAGGTACTTACATAAGATCATGTGTAGTCACTTTATGATACAGATATGATTATAGTGAGTGCTCAGGGTATTTTCTTTTTTCGTTGGAGTCAGCAAACTTTTTTTGTTTATTCGTTTTCTTGCTTTCACACATCAGGAATGCAGAAGCAGTTGGGAAGCTTATCTCTGCTTCGCAATTAAATTATTACACATCACTGCTTCTTAATCCATTTAATATGTGGGATTAGCAGAGAGTTTTCCCCCCTAGTATGCCAGAAACCAGCACCATATTTATGCCCATTGACTACAACTGTTTCTTTCTTTCCCAGAGATGAACTGCAAGACTGGCAGCCAACAGTTGTTTATCAGCACCAGTCCATACACTACCACTTTAACACAACTGTCTAAACCTACCTAGAGCCAGCGAAGCTTAGTGGTTTGAATGTTGGACTTCAGCTCTAGAGACCAGGGTTCGATTTCCAGCTTGGTCATGAAACCCACTGGATGACCTTGGGCAAGTCACATGCTCTCAGCCTTGGGAAGGCCATGGCAAACCTCCTCCGAACTAATCTTGCCAAGAAAACCCTATGATAGGTTCGCTTTAGGGTCGCCATAAATAAAAAATGACTTGAAGACAGACAATAACTAAACCTACCCACCTCATATCACCATTCAGTCCAGGGTCTTAAATTATCTACCACTGACCTTAATTTAAGGTGCATCCACACTAGAAATAAAGCAGTTTCACACCACTTTAACTACTATGGCTCCATCCTACAGAATCCTGAGATTTGTAGTTTTGTGAGGCACCAGCACTCTTTGGCGGAGAAGGTTAAAGACTTTGTAAAACTACAAATCACAGGATTCCATAGGATGGAGCTACAGCACTTAAATGTCACATCAGTTCTGATCATTCCTTTTGGGTGAAATTTAGCTGGAAAAGTTTTTTCTACCCTGTTTAATGGGCTGGGAAATAGAAAAGACAGACCATGTTTGTATGTAGTTTTGTGTATTTAGAGGAAGTCACCCAAAATTTACACCTTTTGCCCCCAGAATATTTAAGTGGTTTTAAGGAACTGAAAGATGGCTTTAGGAGCTACAAAAGTGTGGTTCAAGGACCATACTTTCCCTCATTTTATGCCTATCCCTTCCTAGTAAGAGCTCAAAGCAACTAACAATCAAACATAAAATATAAACACATGCACACAATTAAATTGCAAATTACAAATGCTGATAATCAAAAATCTAAAATAATAAACTACAAATATCAAAAACTATAAATCACAAATATCCATATTAGTACAGTATTGTTATTGTTTATCTTTTTAAAAAAAATTATAGTAGAGAGAAATGCAATAGTGTTTTTAGAAGTCACCTATTGTTGAATTTTACTATTAATTTTACACGTATATAATAGTACAGTACTTTTGTTTTGATAGCATTGCAGAATATAAGGCTCCTTCTACCACATGTGGTGGACCTGTGAGGTAATCTCTAAACTTGGGATATGATATATCAGTGAGCATCAGCATAGGCTGCAGCATTGCCCCAGATCTTAGACCACCCTTGCTGTACAACTTCCATGCTGAGTTAGAAGATTCATTTTCTAAGAAATTTGTAGGGTTCCCATATCTTAAAGCCTGGCCTCTCTTCTTCAATCTTTAGGGTAAGAGGATGAAATCTCAGGATGAGAGGACTGACTTTAATAGTGTGTGTATATGTATACTTGCCTCATTTGTTAGACTGGTTGCTTTTCATTTGAATGGCATTTGTTGTTGTTGTGTGCCTTCAGTTTGCTTCCAATTTATGGTGACCCTAAGGCAAACCTATCACAAAGTTTTCTTGGCAATATTTGCTCAGAGGAACTTTAACTTTGCCTTCCTCTGAGGCTGAGAGCGTATGACTTTCCCAAGATTACCCATTGGCCAAGCAGGGATTCAAAACTTGGTCTCCACAGTCATAGTCCAAGGACTTTTATCACAAATGGCTTAGATTAGAGCTGGAAAAAGCAGCTTTGGTAAGACTTATTGCATGACAACACCTCTGACCCGTAGTTGTTGTGTCCCTGAAGTGTGGTTGGGACATCCCTTTTCATTGATGTGGGAAACCCATCAATGAGCTTGCAATCATGCTAGTCCCCAAGTGTGAAATGTCGCTACCAGGGCAGTTGTGATACCGGCATTTGTGGTGTCAGTGTCTCCTCCTCTCCCCCTGTTCCCATTCTTGCACTATTTCCAAGCAGGCTGATCCTATTTATTTATCTTTTCTATTTCTTTTCTTTTCAAAACTTAAATTGCAGTAGTAGAGCTCTGGAATCGAGTGAAAAATGGAAAATAAAAATAAATTAAATTTAAATTTAAAAAAACCCCAAAAAGCATCCTGGGTAGGACATGGGGCAGGGGAGTTAAGAAGAGAGCGTAATGGCAGAAGCAGTCTCAGTCATGCGACGGAAAAGATGGGCAATAATGGCTGCTCACAAATAAATATACAGTTGTCCCTCTGTTTGCGGACTTCATGTCTGCGGTCTTGCTCTTTGTGGGGAGGGCCAAGGGTTTATATGTAAAATGGATGTGTGTGCCTGTGTGCAGCCCTGTGTGTGTGCGCCATGGGCGCGTGCACCATTAGTTTCAATGGGGCTTGGATATTAGCGAGCTGCCATTTTTGCGGGAGGGGATCCGAAATGGATCCCCCGTGAATTGGGACAGTCAACTGTAATTCCATTTTCTTTAACAAGCACAATTACAGTGAGAACTAGGCTCATGCTCCAATGTCCCAACATTCACACTACTTCACCATGCTGGCTGTAAGTACGCTGGTTATGCCTAGGTCTCGGGTTTTAGTACTGAAATCTCAGGACCTGATCTGGTAATCCTAGGATCTTATCATCGAGTATCTGGCAGAAAAGAGATTTTTTTTAAAATACAAAAATTACACTGATTCTTTTTTTTTGGGGGGGGAGGTTGTTTTTGTTTTGCAAACGAAGAATGTTCTGTTAGCCGTGCCAAAATAATTTCAGGCTGATCTTATTTCCAGATATGGGAAGATTGATATTTTTATGGTACCACCCTGGTTAAGCATGTTTTGAAGTTTATTCAAGTGGTTGCAAGGGTAGGATAATTTTTTCTTTAATTGCCTCATTCTACCCACTTCCTCCAACATTAAAGGAACTCTCCTGATGACTACTTTGGATCTAACCCAATGATTCTCAGGTTTATTCTGGGTTCAATCAAATGGCAGTCTAGGTCCAATGAGGTAGAAGATGATGGAAAAAAACTGAGTTCATGTTGAACAGCTGCTGTTAGATCAGATACTGGGGTAGGTGAACCAAGGGTCTGATAATACCGCAAGGAAGCTTCAGGTTTTCCTATTACCACATCAGGAAGTAGAGACAAGACCATGTGGATATTTATGTGGAACATTTATTTTGGATATAGCATTAATGCTTGAACATTGCCAAAAAGTGCAATTTTCAAGAATGAGAGTAAGAAACTCGCTTGTCTCATGCACATTTATCATTACTGTACTGTCACAGGAAATTAAGTATAAACAGACTCATTAAGATGAATGAGTTACGCAAACATGTGAAATGAAAAAAAACAAACCTCAGGTTTGTTGTTGCTTGCCAAACGACCAAGACCATCTGGTTTATTTGGGTTAAACTTTCTATGAAGCTCCAAGATTTAACCCCATTAAAAAGTGCTGGCACTGGGAACTTGTACTCCCCATGCTCACAAATCTTTCTCAGATCAGTGATTAAAAAGTCCGGCTTAACAACAAGCAGTGTTTTCAGTGATTGTGGCAATCACTGGTAACCATCAACATGTTGATTCATCTTGAGTTGGTCCAAAAATTACACAAGCTGATCCTACATTCTTTTGTTTGCATCCATCGTCATACGATTACCCCCAAATTAAAGCATGCAGTACTTGAAACAACTTCAAAGGGCAAACTTGCACTTCTACTGGTTCAGCTCTTTTTATTGGTTCATGTTTTCCATTTGGCTTCAACATCTTGTTCTTGCTGATGCCTTTCTAGAATTTCATTTTTATATATTACAGTTCTGGTTGGTGAGACAATCTAATTAATACCGGGATGGAGGCTAGGGATTGCAGCAGTCTCATGCTGTCTCCATGCGGGTGGAAAGCAGAGGATGCCATAATCCCTCTCCCCCATTGTGAGTATGTATACATATTTTACCAGACTGAAGGTGGCCAAGTAGGCCTTAGGAAAATATGCACCAAGTTCATTCAATCAAAATACATTTAACGCAGATTGTTTACACTGTTATCTACTGCCAGTTCTGTTAATCACCAAGCTCAAATATGGCAATGTAGAGGGAACATGAGATCCATAATTTCTTAATTAGATTCTTTTTCTAGCAAAACAATAAAGTAGAAACAGGTCATCTTGCAATGAAAAACTTTAATGCCAAGTACAGTCTAAACTTGAAAGACTGTGATTCACTGGAGGTTTGCAAATGGGAATACTATCTTTTTTTTGCCTTGCCATGATGTCACGGCAAGAATTAGCTAAATGTGAAATGCAAACAACGTCACTGAGAATATTGCTATGGTTTAAGAGCAGAAAGTTACACAAGCAATGCACTGGTGTGGAACTTGTTTGTTTTGATCAGGATGAGAGACTTCAGTTGCACTTCTGGCATTTATGGCTATAATCCTCTTAATTTATACTGGCAGAATTACAAGTTATGCCAGTCTAAACACTTTTCTGGAAGTTGTGTAAGGAGATATCTATTACTTCTCTGTGCAATACTTTTTGCCATGATATGCAATGGTAAATGGATGGTTTAAGGAACAGCTTCACCTACAACACAAACAACTTTAGGTGGATATATGAGAACTTCCTTATGGGCAATCCATTCAGTCTGCAAATTTCCATATAACCTGGAAGTTCCTGGAAACATTTAGTGGAAACTGTGGAAATGTTTGGATGTTTCTGTTTATCCCTCAATTCCTGCTTTTTATACTGCCTGCTCTAATTAGGAATTTATTTAGGAGGACTTGTGCATCGGGAGAAAAAAAAGAGAACAATTATAGCACGGTAATCAATGTAAAGAAATAGAAGATAACCAAAAAGAGAGAAGAAGAGCCCTCTTCCACAAGATCTAAGAAATCAAAAGGAAATTTAACCTAAGAGTATATATGCTATACAATCAACCCTCTAAGACCATGGGCGGAAAAAGACGATGGAAGCAATACACTGAAGAATGGTATAAAAGAGATGAGAAATGACAGATTCATTCAAGGAAGAGCCACCTGAAGATGAACTTACAATTTTAGAAACTGAAGTGAAAGCTGTACTCAGAACACTTGGGAGAAATAAATCACCAGAAACAGATGGCATACCAATAGAGGTGCTTCAAGATATAGAAACAGAATCTATTCAAGTTCTAACTAAAATCTGCTAACAAATATGGAAAACAAAACAATGGCTCAAAGATTGGGTATAGGTTCTATTGCCCAAGAAAGAG